CGAGTAAATTGACTACGTTACAAAATTAGAATTGAATCAAATGCAACCCTAGATCTATTGCTACCAAGATCATCTTGATTAGTATAAATAAAGCTAAACTAAATACCATGAACTATATATTGTAGTATCGGAGCTAAATTTATTGATTTAGTAGCAGCATTTACTGATTCCTCATCACATCGATGCAAGAACTAACGATGGGAACAATGCAGACATACCTCAAAACACCTCCATTCAAATAGTTGTGACAGCAGTCACGAGACGAAATCGTACTCATGATATAACCATCTTTGTTTTCATTGCTCTTTTCTCGTTTTCCCCACCAGAAGTCGGAGAGGAAACTGACTCGAAAATACCTAGCTTTGCTATAAAATAATTAATCGAACCTACCATATGATCTCGACAAGGCAGAACTGCCATTAGACATACAAGGCCTCAATTTTGCTTACAAGTTCATTCTAGAAGACGAGGGGCAAAAATCTGCAATAATTATTGACGAGTGCACTCGAGCTTGCTTTAACAATCACACAAATGCTTTCTTATGAAGATTTCAATGTCTTCACCAAGTCTTCGCGTCTTCCAACTTATGGTTGTCTGAGAAATTTGGCTTCTTCGCTTCATGAATCACACTGTACTACATGAGAATGAAAAAGAATGGAAAACAATCATAAATTGCTTTCTGAAGCTATTTCTGGAAGCACTGAACTTTCTTTGTAAACTTCATTTAAATTTCACATTTAAAAAAAAAACTATAAAAACATGCAATTTCCATCCAAAATGATAAAAATTGACATTCTTGGTGGAACTTAAAATATATATCCTCAAATTTTGAAATTGTCTAGTTTAATATTTACTACTTTATAACAAAAATAAATTCTTTTCATAGTTCAAATAAATGTAGTTTCCAAATGAATTCTTGTAAATAAAATTCATTTCTTTCAGACATAAGACTAAGAAGATATAATGTTAACAAAAAGCGACAAGCTTAGAAAACGAGTAACAGAAGAACGAGAAGATAATGGCAGCATTCTTAATGATATCCAGCATTCAGACGGCCAAGAGGAAAAAAAAAATATGTACAGGGTGCCTTAGCTAAAATGGGAAAGAGAGGATGTGAAAAACCAACCTTTTTTCTATCAAAGTTCACTGGAATATTCTAGGAGAATTACAAGCCGAAGTCAAGTTCAGCTTGTTCTAGTATTGATGTCACCCTCTTGAAAAATTCAGGTTCCTTTTCCCTAACATCATCAAGTGTCCTTGACTCGTGTTCATCAGCCTGTAAACAATAAAAAAAATCAAGTACATAACTCCGGGACCAAATGAGTAATTGATTCTCTGCCCGCAGCAGACTATGACAAAATATGATCTGCATGAATACATCATGCATTTAGATGCATCTAAAGCATCTTCATCTTCATCTCCTTTTCCTTTCTGGGAGAGAAAGAAGATTAAGAGTTAAAAGTACGAGAAATTAAAAACAATGTTCGAGCAGTGCTGTAACTGCTATTTACAACTTGCTCATATTAACATTTAAAAATCCAACAGACATTACGTAACAACTATCATGTTACAGATAAAGTTGCCAAAAAAGGAAAGTGACTGAGTAGAAATTGATGTTACAATCATAATAAATAAACGTTTTGGACCAACGAAAAGCCCTGGCTTTTTTGTGTAAATCTCTGACAAGGAAAATATATCACATATCAGGATCAGATTGAAGGATGATTATACCTTGGTAAATAAAAAACTCAACAAACTATTGGAGAAAAATCAGAAGATTTGATACTATCCAAAAGAAGTACATCAATACTAGATATTCTATTTGATAATAAGTTGAATTGCATTAGAAAAATTGACTTCAACTTTGTATACCTAACAAGGAATTTTCCTTTTCTTGAGAGAATAGCAAGGAATTGATAAGACTGTTCTAACAATTTTTAAATATAGCAGAAGATACTTTTGTTTGTGAACTTGGCAACCATTCAAATAAGTTGCAACCAAACAATTTCAAAAGTAAAATATAGTAAGGCATTGGCTAGCTACAAAGAAGTATGATTACAACATGAAAGCCATTTACAAGAGCCTTTGAAAAATTTCTAGTGAAAACAGCCAATAGATTGGTGGATTTTAAAAGATTGGATTTGAGTGAAGAAAGCTAATTCAGGTACCTCTTTAAATTTCAAAAGAATCAAGTTTGACACTGAGGCTGGCTTCGTTCGGTCCCACCTGAAAAGAAATGGCAAGAAACCATAACGTGAGTGAACAGTGACTCCAAAATTGTACTCCCAAGATAAAATGGGGTTTTAATTTATGAAAATAGCACTAATGTCTCAAGTAAACCTCATAAAGAGATTTATTAGGTTTTATCCAATCATAGTTTTATTAATGAACTATACCATATAAAATATGCTGCCACTCCATTGTACTTTTTTTTAACAGTGTCACTTTGTTTTACTGCCCAGAATTAGAGTGTTTTTTTTTTCTTTTTTGAATGTAACAGTAACAATTATATTCAAGAAAACAAAGTACCAAGGGGGTACCACCTATTACAAAATATTTACAAGTTTGTCAGTGTATCTATTATACACCTAAAATCTTCCTCCCTATTAAAATCATGCCCTAAAACATTATACTCAAAATAATGAAACTAGCTATCCTTCAGTTTACGAATATTATTTTCCATACCCTCAAAAGCCCTACTATTTATCTCTTTCCAAATCACCCACAATGGGTCAAATGAATAGTTTATCTTACCTCAAAAACAAGAGCTTATACAGTGTAGAGTCTATAAGCTCTTCAATGGTTTACAACATGATGGTTTTTTTCCCCTAAACAAGCTGTTGGACTGTTTGGATTGAGTGATGTTAGTAAATAAATTCTAGTATTTACCTTCTGTCATGGACTCGGGAGTTAGCTACAGTTGTACACGAGACATTTAATCCAAAAGAAAATAGATACCTACCTGAATATAACAATGAACAAGTACCTGAGAGTTTGTTCAGATTACTACTATGAGATCTCACCCTCTCAATCACTTCATAGTTAAGACTGCTAGACTCCTATAGTGTTATGTCATCTTGCTGTGTCATAGTGACATAGGCCTGCCCTTTGTTTCTTTCTTGTTCTCCTCTCAATTCCCACCCTTGGTTTGGAGGTTTTCCACGGGATACTAACATCATTTCCGCATGTTGCACACTTTTTTTTTTGAAAAAAAAAAAGTATCAATTGTGCATGTTGCACACTTTCTTGCAGCAAGTACACCACAAGCTACCGACCACATGACCCACTCATCAAATACTTTTTCCACCTATGTCCCATATCCAAGTAACAAAAAAAATAGCTGCAGGATGATTCTTTGACCAGTGTGGCAGAGAAATGAGATGCCAAAATAAATTCAGAACTCCAAGAAATACTCTTCATGTTCCTAAATTGTCCACAATCCTTGTCTCTATTCAAAAACTCACTCGAGGTTACTTGATAGTTATCATATATTTGAGAATGAGGATTCGGGATGATTAGATATGCTAGAGAATGAGACTGGATCAACTATCTTGACGCATTGAGTCAATCAAGTATCTCAAGGGCAAGTTTTGTTGCTCTTTTATTTCAAACTCTTTTTATCCAATAAGGAAAAATTTGGCTTCATCAATACTGACTTGGCATCCATCATTTCGAATTATTACACTCTTGTTTTCTTTCAAAAGTCAATAGTGTTGAATATTTTCGTTATGAAGTGTGTAAACTATCAAACAAAAACATGAACTTAACATTTCCCAAGAGAGAACAGATTCTGTCCTTGAGAATTTGAGGTTTGGCAAAAGTAAGATGTTTTCAAGGAACAAGGCGACTATCAAAGAATCCGTGAGACTGAGTTAACAATTTCTAATCCTTTATTGCAAGATGAAACTGAATCTCATGTGGTCAGAAAAGGGATTAGAGACTGCATAAAATAACTATTATATCCTTTTTTACATTTCTTGTCCTCTAAAAAATTCTCACAATCTCATAATGTCTTTCTTGTTAGCTTCAACACTATTGTCGTTCCCATTACCTTATCTAAGACTTTTTCCAACGAAAACCAGAAACAAGCCATGAATGTGAAATGGAAGCATTGGGAAAAAAAAAAACAAAACCTGGGACCTACTGAGGTTACTGGCAAGAAAGAAGCCAGTAGGCTGAAAATGGGTGCATATGGTAAAGTATGAAGCAGATGGATCTACAAATCAAGGCTAGTAGCCAAAGGATATACCCAGACTTACGATTGATTATTCAAAAATACTCGCTTCGATTACAAAGATAGATACTGTTGGATATTGTTATAATTAGTAGCTAATTTCGGTTGGGAATTGCAGCAGTTCATATTAAAAATGCATTTCTGCATGGAGAACTAGAGGAAGAAATTTATAGGACATTCCAGCAGATTATGGAGGCAATTTGGCTTACTCATACTGTGTGTAAGTTGAAGAAAGTCTTGTATGTACTTCAACAATAACCACGAGCATGATTTGACAGATTTGCTGAAGTTAAGATGTCATGGTATATAAGCAGAGATAAGGAGGCCATACATTATTCACAAAACACCCACCTTTTGTTAGAGACACAACTCTCCTGGTATATTTTGATGAGAAAATAGTAACAGGAGATGATGGTACCGAAAGACAACATCGAAATCAGCACTTTGTTGTGGATTTTGAGATCAAGGCACTAGGATAGTTGAAATATTTTTTTTATGGGATTGAGGTAGCTCACTCTATACATGACATTTTTTGCTCACAGCAGAAATATTATTGATCTTCTTCAAGAAACGAGTAAGACAACATGCAAACCAGCAAGTATTCTAATAGACCAATAACTTAAACTAGGAAAGGCAGCAGTGGACGCGGCTGTAAACAGAGAAATATATCAACACCCAGAAGGAGGACTGATTTACGTCTCTCACATGCGACTAAATATACCATATGCAGTAGGCGATAAGTCAGTTTATAGATACCCTAAAGAACTCCATTTACCGGAAGCTCTCTGAGTGGTGCAGTATCTTAAAAGTACATCAGGTAAAGGTATTCTCTTCAAAAGCAATGGAAGTTTAGTTTTTGAAGCATATACAAATACCGATTATGCTCGGTCAATCATTTACAGAAGATCAACCTCCAAATATGGCATCTTTCTTAGGGGTAATCTGGTGATGTAAAGAAGCAAAAAATAGAAAATGGTAGCACCGGTCAAGTGCGAAAGCAGAATTTCGAGCAATGGCCCAAGGCATGTATGAACTGCTTTGGGTAAAGATCGCCTTAGGAGATTTGAAAATTAAATTAGATGGTCTGATGAGACACTACTGTGGTAATAAGTCCGTCTATAACCCATAATCTAGTACAATAAGATCAAATGAAACATACTGAAGTTAACAGATACTTCATCAAAGAAACACTAGAAAGCAGGTTGATTTTACACCTAACACAACCACACATGGCCAACTTGCTGTGCACTTACCAAAGAGTTAAGTAGTCTAGTGTCTCAAAGTATTGTCTCCAAGCTGGGGATAGAAAACACTTATTCACCAGCTTGAAGGGAAGTGTGGGAAAAAGTAATTAATTGTGTGTATATATTTTTCCTTTTTTTTAGATTGTATCCCTAGAATTAGGCCCATTTAACTATTACAGTAGAATATCTCACAAATCATAACATCCCAAACTAATTATGTTTTTTTCCTATAGCTAGAGTTGCCGTATATATATGTGCAACTTTCGTGAATTACTCAATAATATGAAATCAAATTCTTCCACATCTAGCTTTATGTTTCTGCAGAGAAGCATCATTAATTTTAAATGATTAGGATATTTTCTAAGCAAAACTACACACCTTACAAGTATTAATTCATTAACAGACCGCCACATTCCCCGTCCAACATTTTTGGCTGATTGTTCTCTAGCACTTCGCCCGTGCCACAGCTCTTTCACTATGTACCTCACTTCCTCGACATCTACCTAAAGAGGATGGAAAAGAAAATCGATCATTTTAGACAGAATCAAAATAGGTTTTTCTTCTGGAATTGAAGATATTTCAATATCAATCTAGTATAAACAAATGAATCAAAGGCTACAAAAAATAAAATATGCATAAAAAAAATGGAACTGATTTCCAATAAATATATTTCACCACTTATATGACAGATAAATTGGTCAAGTAAAGGATTCGGTAATTCAAGGAGAATTCCGACTTGTATTTAATGAAAATGATTTCACCATATGTAGCCAAAGGTTAAGCAGACAAATATTCTTCCCTGGCAAGTAGAGGACCACAAATAATGGATGATGCCTTATATGTCTCTTACTTAGGGTCCTAAGTAAGAAACACCCACACTTAATGTCATGCGAGAGTATGGATGATGCCTTATGGTCACGCCTTAAGGTCAGTATATTTTAACATCTTTCATGTAGTACCTTTTAAACCAAAAAAGAAGGGATCAAATAGGGATGTCAATGGTAACTGTATGAAGCTAGTACCAAGTTGCATAAGCAGTTAAAATGTTTTATCTGAATGCTAAAGCGCTTATTTTCCTTAGTAGAAACTTACACTTAAAACATGAATACCATTCACTAAGCCTCAGCCTAGAAGATGGAACAATGAGATGGCCAGACAATACAAATCTCTACTGGCCAGGGGAGAAAAATATTTTTCCTGACCAAAATGGTGCATGCATATTCATTATGCTCTTTTTATCGATTTTGTTTGCAGATTTTCTCTTTTTGAGGCAAAAAAGCGGTGTATGTAAACCTATCTGGATGTCAACATTAAAAAATGAACAGTAATGATAACTGCAAGTATACTCTCACAAAAGTCTGCTCCCGTACAGCACACAAACCACACTAGACAGATATAATGATATACTTCCTTGCTTTTGAGAAAAAGTACCTAGAAACCATACTTTAATTACAACCAGAACCTGAAGAGCCAATAGACATAGCAAAAATATAAGTTTCAATGTCCCTAACCGAACAAGCATATTGACCATAGACAAACTTAAGGGGAGGGAAAAATCTTGATTAATTGGGGTTGTTTATGTAAGAGGGCGGCAGAAGAGACATGTATCATTTGCTCCTATTGGATTCTCTTGCACATGGTTTTTGGGCAATGGCCTATGGTTTAATAGGAATAAATTGGGTTATGACTAGTACTATGAAGGATGAACTTTGGGCATGGAAAGATTTGGGCAATAGGAAGAAATGCTGGGATTGGTTCCTTTGGATACTTTTTGAGTGATTTGGAAGGAAAGAAATAGAAGCGTGTTCAACGGTTAGAAGAAGGAATACATAGATTGAGAGAGCAGTGGTTTCAAACCCTCGGTATTCTGGTTATGGATAAACAACTAGATCACATGGCAGGATCAGGAGAACTAATTGATATTCTTACAGATTTGTAAATAATTTTATACATGAGTTGGCACCCCCTTGGTGTATATACTTAATGATACTTTTACACTTAAAAAAAAAGAACTAAAAAGATAAAAGCACCTATAACTTGAGAAAACATTAAATAAATCTAAACCAAATAAAGATGACATCCAACCCAGTCAACCAACAGTAATCTTAGAAGCTATTTGATAGCCAAAACATCTTTTATAGGTAAAATGCCCTACCAGGACTTCAGTGGATGTACCATATAATGACTCTTCATGCTCAATAAGGCGTTGATGAAGCATCTCGTAATGATCGACATCTAGATTTACTACAGCCTCAGTTTGAACTTTCAATCCAGCAAGTTGTGTGATAACATATGAGGCCATGACCTGTCCAAAGATTGCAGGAATGGTACCGAGAACAGGAATGATGCGAACCCTGAACCCAGGCACAATCTGAAATCATGGTAAGAAGTAAGATATCAAACACATAAATAGCACTAAAATATAGAGATCATAGGCAATAGTTACTTTTTTCTTGGAGTGTACCACGACTAACCAAAGGTGAAAAAGATGGGAAACAAAACTATGGTGATTTATAAAGCATAATTGAGGTACAAACTAAAAATAAGGATTTTGATGAGGCAAAAAATATCCTGACTTCCCCATGAGAAGATTAGGTAAGTGAGCACAACTATCGAAGTGCTCCTTTGATCCCATATACTTTGGGAACATCCGATAAAGCTGGATCACTCTCAAAAGAGATATTACAAAATACTTATTACACATCCAAATCTAATTATAATTTAGGAATTCTAATAGAAAACTTAAGGATACTCAAAACATAAATAAAATAGTACGAAAAGCAAATAACAAAAATGAATAATAAAACCATTCTCCTAACATTCTAATACTGTTATTAACATCATTTTCTATTAAAGTAAGCAACAAAAAAAAGCACCTGATAATCTGAAGGGTTTTCCTCTTCTCCAGTTGGCCCCTTGAATGGAAGTAGTCTCGCCTTTGGTTTTTCCAATGAAAACACTATCGGAATGCCACTCTCAATGCCATAATCCTTCCTCAAACGGTGTCTTACCTGGAAAGGGGCACTTCAATAAGGATTCACACATCATTTCAAGCAATATGAACCAGAAAAGCCATGTGTATAATACAGGTGGAGATAGAAAGAACAACATTACTCAAAGATGGAAATTCTCTAAATGCAGATCATTATTTTTAAACTAAATGAAACAAAAATCTTCCAACCAATATTTTTTTGTCCTTCCTTTTACTACAGTTTTACTTAGATAACTCAATTTAACAGACCCAATAATTGTATATCCTCTGCCACTAGATGATTCCTGTATGCAATAAAACACTGCTAAATCACTCTCAAGCAACCTTAAGTAATAAAAGGGCAAGATGCTGATAGAAAGTATTTTGCTGAAATGTAATAAAATTGAAAAAAAAAAGTATATGTAGTGCATTTCAGGGTGGCTAAATGAGATATACAGTTAAAGATTAATTTTTTGAAAAGTAAGCTTTTGGCTGAGAAAAAAAAAGACGAGAAAGATAGGAACGGGATAGTACACACAATTCAATAGAAAACCAGATAATCTCTAGGCAACTTAGGCCAAAAAATAGCCTTATAGAGGCTCTGCACCATAGCCCAAAGAGAAGCCACAAAAGGTAACCTATCCCAAGGAAGCAAAAGACAGGAGAAATGATCTTTAAAGATCCTTGCATTTCTCTCCACCAATAGCCAAACAAACAGTGTTCCCACCAAACACTTATAAAAACCACAATTCAAAGACGCGACTAATAACTTCAGCCATGGTCTTCAAAGAAACAAGGGAAGATGATCCCCTTGCCAAAATCCCATTTTCCCCTAAACCAAGATCTTGTAGAAATTTTGAATTGTAAATTGTTCGCTTCACTATCTTTTGTATAAGAAGGATTCGCTTTTGCTTTGATGCCTCATCTATAGTAAACTTCCATTCAAGAGAGAGATAGGGGGTACCCACTTAGTGGTGGGGATTTCCTAATTTAGTCCTAGCTAGAAGATGGCACACAAGACTTCTTCTCCTCCAAATTTGGTCTCACAGAATAACAAAATTCCTCTCAACTATTATACTAACAAATATATGCAAATAATGCATCTTCTGAAGAAAGTTTAGCTTTATACACACACATGTAGCAAAATAAAGAGCACACGTGTAGTACACTTCTTCAGAAAAGGATACATCATGACAGATATTTGAAAAAAAAATTACAAAAATTACCATAAAAAACAAGAATGATAAGTTTTGAGGAATAAAGGTGCCTGTAAATACCAAATGAAATATTCTTATAGCAGTAAGTTTTCTTAAGTTACTTAAAGTAAGTTCTTAAAAAGAAATAATTATGTGTTTGAATAAGGTATTAATTAATTGTAAAAATGAGTTGTTGCTTTCTATAAAAGAATTAATAAATAAATACATGTATAGAAAATATATCTTATGATTTACATGATCATATATATATATTGTTAAATTTAAATGTTTTACTTCAAAAAATATTGTTAATTTTAAAAGTATACGAAGAGGATAATTAAATAAATTGGTTACACTAAAAAAATAAGAACTAAAAAAGTTAGGAGTAAAACACTTATTCTCTACCTTTTTAAAATAATTTTTAAAAACTAATAAGCACGTCACTTTTTATATTACAATCACAAAAGTTAGAACAAGATGCTTAAAATTCTCTGAAAGCAACAAATAAACAATCCCATAAAACCTCTTATTATCGAAGTGAAAAAATGGCGTCTTATTATGGTCCAAATTCATGAGATTATCACCCAAAGTTTCAAAAATCAGATTATTGTGGGAGCATATCACATGGACAAGCATCCAATAATTATTGTGAGAGCATGATCACATGGAAACACCCAAGAACTCAAGTGATTAAGGAAATAAAAACTAAAAGTGTCCATAAACATTACAGCTCTGGATAATGGGTCGTTTGTTGACTCTCTTAAATCAGCAATTCGAATTCTTGTTGGATCAACCCTAGCACCAGCACCTGTAGCAGATAGAACCTTTAAACCTCTACGCACACATGCAGCAAGAAGTGCCACCTGTTGCGCAAGAAGATATAAAACCCAAACAAAAAATTGAAAGTTACAGATATCACTTCACAAGCAGGTAGAAAATGACATGCAACAATTTTCTTTTCCACAAATCAAATGCTAGGATGATTATAGAGCTTCATTTGATCATGTGTATGGCATCAAATAAGCAAGAAAGCTTTCTAGTGCATTTATAGTGACCATAATCATACAAACAAACATGATCTACCTGCAGATACAGCTATAGACATATAAATACTCATGCACAGAAAGGAATATACACAAATGAGATGGCGAAATCCCATGGGTTTTGGCACGACCCAACTCAATTGGGGCCTTGGCCTGGTTTAAGGTGTATATATCTGCACGTACCGGGGGCCAGATAGGTGGGTTTCCCATTTTCTGAATTCATCCTGTCCTGATATTAATTTACAAATTTACTTTTAACATTTTATGATTTACTAGCCCTGTATATACAGTTAAGTACACGTCATTTCCATTCTGGCTGGTAGGCAACTCACTGCCATCCTATTCTCCTAACCAAACAGCTGCACCTGCAACCACATGACAACATCCTATTTTTCTCCTTTATCGGAAAGATGGCAACTGCCACAACCGCCTACCCAATAGTCAACCCTCACTCAGCAACATCCATGACTTCCATCCCTGATTTCCCAAACACAAATTCTTTTACAGTCTGCAAATCATAAAATTAAATAGAGAATGTGATAATAGAAATTATCTCACCACCAAAATCTTCCATAATAAACAAGGATACCTGGTCCAGCAAAATGGGGTGGTGATCAAATATAAATGGAGATGGATAATGGTTTCAGTCCCCAAATCAGATGGTCTGGCAGAGTGGATGGTGCTCAAAGATAAGTGGGGTGGATATTGGTTTCAATTTACTAATCAAGATAACCGAGACACAAAGAGAAGCTAAGTACCAAAGGGAGGGGTTGGAAGGCCCACCCAGCTACTATACATAAATGCACATCTATGTGCCAGAGTAAAGCTTCGGTGTTTATTTTACCAGAAATTATGAATTCTAATTCTTCTAATTCCTCATTGAAATACGATAAAAAAATGTGCACAGAGCGTATCTTTGTGTCAATGTTTTGTATTTTACCTTTGTATCAATGTTATCAATGCAATCCAAAACAAAATCAGGGTTGCCTGAGAGAATCTCATCTTCAGATGATGAATCATATAGGAGCACTTTTGCATCTACTTGGCACTCAGGAAAGATTGAAGAGAAATGCTTTTTGAGGCACTGAGCTTTTGGAATTCCAACATCTGCTCTCATTGCAACAGCGTGTCTATTTAACGATGAAAGTGATACCTTGTCATGTAATCAATAATAAGTACAATACCTACTGTTGTTTGACAGGATACAGATAATTAGAAACAGAGAAGGAAACTTAAAGGAGAACCGTGTAATAATAAAAGGAGATACAAGTACCATATTCTAACTACTTTGGATTATAGCATGGCACATGTAGGTTTCATACATGAGACCATGATCAACCAAATAATTGAAATAATCAACAGCAGTGCCAGAGAGCTATTGTGACAGCCATAAGAGTGACATATATATTAATAAAATAACAATTGAACCAAATTCATTTTCATTTGATGAGAAGGTAATTAGTGATGAGAAAGCAGTAAAATAAATCACTAAATGCACATAATAAAGATGGAGAGGACAATAGAATGATAAGTAATAGATGCATGTACTTTCAACTTAGTGACACTAGTTCTCCCATAAACATGAAGTAAAAAAAATGCATGAGCAAAGCAAGATCAGAGTGTATGAATTATGTTCTTTCCCTGTTAACCCAAATAGGGGGGAGAGAGAGAGAGAGAGAAAGAAAGAAACAGAATAACACTGTGAATTAGTCCTGGACTGACAGTTTTAATGCATAAAAGAAGTGCAAGACCATAAAATAAGGTTACCAACATAGAGTGGAAATTTTGCATGAACATTTAAGAAAAGGAGTTAAAGAAGCTAGAACATATAAGATAAAATCATATAAAAAATACCTGGTCAAAATCCACAAGAAGAAGCCTGCCAACTCCCGATCTCAAAAGCATGGATGCTGCATGACTCCCAACCCCTCCAAGACCAATGACCACAACGTATGATCCAGATACTTTCTGTTGAGACTCAAGGCCAAAGAATTGAATATTCCTAATAATTTAACAAATCAATGCATGTTATTCAATTCAAAATTTAACCTTAAAGGAAAATCATAAACAAAATAGAAGGTTTGGATCCTTTGTCCATCCAGGCCTTTGTGCCAAACATATATCTGTCTGCTTAGATAAACCCAAAAGTGCAATGGTATATAATAGCAACTCAGTAAAATGATTTAAAGACTGAAGAAGTACTTAGATGCTTGCAGTTAAAGTAATATCAAAAACATCCAAACTGCATCAAAATTCCAACTCTTCAGTAATTTTCATGGTGTCAAATTGACAACACTGCAGCATTAAATAAGTGTTGAACATGTTAATGAGTTAAAACATAGACCTCACCCAAAAAAGAAAACAAAAATAAATGTTAATGCACATACAAACACTCTGCTCCTTGGAAACAAAATAGCTGATCATACTCCAGTATTTTTGTTGAAAAAAGTCCAATCTTGCCCAAAAAAAATAACCACGTTCACAGTCACAAATATTTTAAAAGTTCAAAAGATGGTAATATTGATTGTAAAATGACAGTTCACCCGCACACCATCATAATCTTTTTCCCATTTCAGTTTAGGAGAAAAAGAAAGGAAAGCTAAATGCCAAACAGGAAAAGGGAAAACAACTAAAGTAACTGAACGCGATCGAATACTGGAAAGATACAAGGCAAAAGATTGGTGACCAAAGGGTTTACCTGAATCTGCAGGATTGACTACCAAAAGCCATTTGTACCTGCTTGCAAAGATGAATATGGTACATATCCTATTGTCTTTAGCTGCTAACTTCAATTGACAATTGTAGCAGTTTGATATTAAGAATGTTTTTCTACATGGAGAATTGGAAGAAGAAATCTTACATGGAGATTCTCTCCGCTTTTACTAAAGGAGTAGGAACAAACAGAATACGCAAATTGAAGAAGGTACTGTATGGGATTAAACAGTCTCATTGGGTATAGTTACCTAGATTTGCAAAGGTAATATTATTCATAGGGTACAAGTAGATTTAGGGAAACTACACCTTGTTCATTAAGCATTCAGAGTCAGTAGGAGTCACAACCTTCATGATATATGTAGATGAAATATTTGTTACAATAAACAATGAAGATGAAAAAGTAGCTTCCAAGAAATGCTTGGCTGGATAGTTCGAGATTAAGGAGTGAGGAAATTTAAAATATTTTCTCGGAATAGAACTGATGTACTCAAAGTCAGAAATATTCATTTCCCAACAAGAATATCACATATTTTTTAAAGGAAACCAACAAACTAGCATACAAGCCAGCTAGCATACTCACTGATCTCAATCATAAACTGGAACTGACAGAAAAAAACCCAGATGTGAACAGGGAAATCTACCAGAAACTAATAGGAAAATAGATATACTGGTCAAATACCAAGCCAGACATTGCATTTGCCGTTAATATAGATAGACAGTTCATGCACAATCTTAAAGAAGTACACTTACAAGCAGCCTACAGAATACTTCATTACTTGAAAGGTACTCTGAGGAAGGGGAATTATGTTCAAAAAAACAATGAGCAGCTTCTTGAAGCATATAGTGATGCAGAATATGTTGGATCACTAATTGACAGGAGATCCACTTTTGGATATTGTACCTTTCTTGTACGGAATCTAGTAACATAGAGAAGTAAGAAGCAGAATGTGGTAGCTTGGTCTAGTGAATAACAGAGTTTAGAGCTATAACTCAAAGAATGTGTAAGTTTTATGGTTGAAGATGATTTTAGAAAACTTGAAAATTCAATGAGATAGACCAACGAGACTCTAGTACGATAATAAATTAGTAACTAGTTTCGCTTATATTCCAGTATAATATAACAGAAATAAGCACATTGAGGTAGTCAGACACTTCAGTAAAGAAAAGTTGGACAGTGAAATTATTTATACTCCATATATGCCAACTACTTCACAACTTACAGATGTTATGACTAAAAGATTAAGTAATCTAATATTTCAGACAATTATTGTCAAACTGGGAATAGATAGTATCCATTTACCAGCTTGAGAAAGAGTGTTATGAAGTACAAATTAGGGTTTCATTAGGGTAAATAGTAATTGGTAAGAGACCCGATTTTTTTTTTTTTTGGAATAGTAAGAGACCCGAATTTTTGTAATCTATAAATAATATTATTTCCTTTTGTTGTTGTCATTCACTTGTATGTATAGAGTCCTAATATTCAATAAAATAAAACAATAATTCATCCTTCCACATAACTTCTATTATGTTTAACTTCTCCTATTATGTTTTCTTGTTTTTTCTCTTTATGATGATTTCTTATCCTCCTTTTTTGTACCTTTCTTTTTTACCCTTCTCTTAAGAATATTTCTTTTATCTCTCAAAAAAAGAATCATGTGAATTAAAACATCTACTATTTTCATCTTAGAAAATCATTTCAGATCCAAGTAATGAATTTCTTAAGATAAAGAAAAGATGGTATTCCTAACAGTGACTTTTGTCAGCTTTATGGCCTTCACTAATGGATTATCACAAATTAAATTTGTAGCTGCTTCAGAAATTTTTTGTTCTATAGAAATCCTAGGAAATTTTAAATGATGACTAGGAATTAATGGAAGTTCCCAACTTTCACTGGCGACAATCTGGGGGCCACCACATTAGGATTCACTAGGAGTTCTCAGATTCTCATAGATGCTAAAAATATCGCAACTCATACAACACAGACTCCACAAGATTATGTTCTGAAGAATTAAGAAAAACGATAAACATATTTAAGAAAGCATTTTTTGCAACCTCAAAAGCCCAATATGAAAGTGTAAAGAAGCATCAAATGCATGCTCCATGTGTAAATTGGAAATATTGCTTCTAGCTTTGCCTGAGCCTTATGCCTTAATGTAGAAGCTATGTGTATATGTTGTTCTGAGTAACAAATGATCGTGAAAACTCGATAAAATTGAAGAAAGAAGATTTGCATGTATTAAACCTATTTTGAGGCGTCCAAGTACATTAAAATTAGAAGAAAATTTCAAAAGACATAAGGATTCAGGTCAACTGGACACATCAAACTAAAAAGTACCTAGTCAGATGTTCAGAAACTACTTCATCCGTAAGAAGATCCTGACCAGCCATTCTGCAACTTTGATCTGCAGCAATGCAGCTGTGCTTAACTATCTCAGACGCAACCTCTTTACCTGTCAATTACAGCTACATCATACACTGCCAACTTTCATTTTTAATCATATGCTGCCAAGATTCACTTTTAAACTGAAAAGTAAACTTTTCAAGTCAGATTAACTAAATAGTTCAAAATCAAGATCAGGCAGCATAAGAATACATATAAATGATGGAACCAACAAATTTGGTGGTTGAATGTGCCATGATCTTAAAATCCTGTTTCGTTGTGCTAGTTAGAGAGGGAGAGGAGGGGGACTACATATGTTGATTTTCTTTCTTCATGCTACAGAAGTGTGATTTTCTTCTTGGATAAAAGAAGTATTATTAAAAAGAGCGAAGAAGATAGCACAAGAGGAGGACAAAAATCATACATCAGTAGCCATAAGACCATAGTATCAAAAGAGCAAAAGGATAACTCTGAAATCGCCCCTTTCAGCACCTCTGAACCTTCTACATAACTCTCGCACAAAAACATCCCATTCTAGTTTCCACATTCTTGACTAACCAACCTTGATAGCAAACATTGGCAACCTCGTCTAGGAACAAAGAGGCAGTTGCCACCCCTTTTTTTTCCAAAATAAAGAGGCAGTTGCCACCCCTTGATCCTTTGGTGTTCCATTTACCCAAAAATATTTGAGGCACCTGCATATCCAGGCCTTCGAATTAACTCCCTCAAACAGAGAAAGCTTTACCCTTGGCAGTAATAAACCACCACTAATGATCTTTGCGTCAATTGTCTAATTCAACGTCATGCGTGGTGGCCATGGGTAGTAATTTTTTGCCTAAGAACAAAGAGACAGTTGCCATCCATTGATCTTTCGGTGTTCCATAAACCAAAAAATATTTGAGGCACCTGCATATCCAGGCCTTGGGATTAACCCCCTCAAACAGAGAAATCTCTACCCTTGGCAGCCTTAAACCACTACTGACGCTCTTCGCGTGTCCATTGTCTAATTCAACCTCATGCATAGTGGCTGTGGTTGGTAATCTTTTGCCTAAAGACAGACCCCGTACTTTCCAGATAGTTTGAGTCCTCCTGTGATTTTGCCCATGTAGCATCTCTACAATTTGTTGACTGTTGGCACGTCTGTTCCTGAGACTCATACATGTCAGACATAAATTCTGGTCAATCTCTGATTGACTTCGATGACAGAATCTCCAAGTTGCGGGAGTTTCTGTTGCTCCAAGATTATGGACTTGCCCTTCGCACGGGTCACCAAAATGACTGAAGGCTACACGTCCTCAGAGGCAAATGCTCTCATACCGCCTTGTCAAGAGTCTTGGTCACTGACTCAGTCTTGAGAATGAAAGTTTGAGAGGAGGAAGAAGGTTAAGAGCTAGGGAGAGACAAATCAAGAGAGACTGTGAGAGAGAGA